TGTTATTATCTTCTCAAAAATTTGAGTTTAACATATCTTAGTATCTTGAGTTTGCACCTGGTATACTGTTTGTTTACCTGTCTCTCTACTAGTGATATGGATTGGTAGATGTGTGTTATCTTTATCTGTATCTTAAATGAATTTATCTTTACCTGTAATTGAGTTCATCTCATACCTGTAATGGAGTTTATTTCGTACCTTTACCTTGAGCGTATCTGTATCTTTACCTTAATTGAGTTTATCTCGTACCTTTACCTTAATTGGTTTATCTCATACCTTTACCTTAAGTTAGTTATCTTTACCTTTACCTGGATAAGTTTATTTCTTATCTATATCTTATGAATATATATCCTATCTTTATCTTGATCATAGAGTCCTAAAAATCTGTCCTTTACTGTTCTTGTCGTGAGTAAAGAATTGGAACACGTCAATAGTACAGTTTAGGTATTACAGTTAGGATCTCTTTATCTTTCCTTCTACCAAGTGTATAGCTGGTAGAAGTGAGTTTTGTGCATATCCTCTACCATGAGTAGATCTGGACGTGCAATTATCTTTTACCTTTTGTGCATATCCTTTACTATGAGTTGGGATTGCAGTTATCTTACTTACCTTTTTTTAGCATACCCTATACCATGAGTATAGTGGGCTTGCTAGTATCTAGGCTTACTTGTGCCTTTACCGATTGTGTGTTTTCCTACCGCTGCTAAAGCAAGTAGGTGTATTGAATTATCTTTTACCTTGAATTTTCAATATGATGTTGATATCCCGAACCATATATATGTTTAGGTTTGTAGTTTCAACTAGTCCTGAATAATTAGGCCCTCATTGAACTCTATGGTGACGAATAGAATCTGGTCGCTCTAGTGTCAACGCTGGGTAAAGTTCATAGGACTTTGTTTGAATTTCGTTGTTATGAATGGTTCTTGGGAATATTTTGTTAGGGGTTGTTAATACACACTTATAATGTAGTTTTAACGATAGTTGTTTTTACTAATACTTGAGAATGTAGATAAGTAGTGTTAAAAGTTAACTTGATCTGTAAGGTTATATAATTAAACTCAAAATGTATACTTTTTTTATCTTTGGTTTATACTAAATTAACATACATTATCTCATTAACAGGAAAAAAAATGTATGACTTCGTCTCATATTCTTCGTTCCATATTTTTATTTCGTCCTTGATTTTGTTCCAATTCCTGAGCAAATGGTTGACTGGTGAGGAAAATGTTCAATTTGAACGTATCAACGTTCCTTACTGACCCAGCGTTAGATCGTTCTGTCACAAAAGAGAAGAAAAAAAAAAAGTTCCTTTTTTTTTTGCTGGAGATGAGGGAGAATGTAGCGTTTACGCTACTAATTACCAATAATACAATTTAAAATTGTATTAATAGAAACCCCTCACGAAATTTCTTATGACCCGCCAGCGGTCGATTCAAACCACCTATACGCGCAGGTTTCGCTTTTTGGAAGGCTGGAAGGAGTTTGTGCCGAAGCCAACCGGCAGTTTGGTCAAGAAACTCACGCAGCACGTCAGCTAATTTAAAGTGACGGAATTGGAACAGAAAAATAATCTGGGACGAATAAAATAATATCTAATTCGTTAATAATATCTCAGTAATACTAATAATAAGAAGTAAATTTTAAAAATCAAGATTTTCTAATGTAAGAGTTCCACATAATAAGGATATTTTTTTTTTGGCGTGTTGCAAGTTCCAGTAAGTACATTATTTTATACGTATTATCTTTTATTATACAATAAAATTTATCCTTGCAGTTTAATATTTCTTTAGAGACTTATTTTTGAGTTCCGAAATAATTTAACTATAAAATTTCCTTGATTTACTTGCAAAGAACCGAAGGTCATTTTTTATATAGTCAAACTTAAATTCCACGTCGTTATCATTAAGTTTTTTGGTTCAATTTTTATCTAACTTTTTTTGGTGGAATATAATAGGTCCTACAATTATTGGACAGCTATTATATTCTGCGCATGTTCATTTCCTATCATGCTGGGAAATAACTTCGGGAATTTTGACATGACAAATATATCTAACCTGATGTTTGATGTTTTGTTTTGGTAAAGTGAATCCATGCTGCTACAGCTATTGAATTACATTTATTAAATTAATTAATCCTTTTAGATTCCGTCACTGAAAATATTTATCACTTAAAAATATTCATCTAAGAATATTAACTTGAAAATATTCCCTCAAGGATGTTAGTTATTCACTTCTTTAAATAGTTGCCGTGGATTGTGGATGTTGCTGTCACCCAGAGACCAGTGACTGGTTTTGTGCCTAGGACTTATCTTACAACCATGAATTAGTTTTGTTTTGCCCAGAGGAGTTTTCCTAGGGACTTATTGTTGCCAAGATAAGTTGTTTTAACTATTTGGTTTTTGTGTTACTTTCTATTTAAATCGTGTACACTTTTTAAATATGACTAGGAGATTACAATTTTGATAATATACATTTTTTTGACATAATCTAATTCTAAAATATTGGGGATGAGGGAAAATACCTTTCATGTGTTATTAGGTTTTTTTTGTTTAACTGGGATTTCAAGAGTAATTGACCAAACTCACTTTTTTTGATATATTTTTGTAATACAATGCTTTTAATAATAATAATAATAATAATAAATTTTGATGTCATAATATTAAATTTTGGGAAGGGATATAAATTTCATGTGTTTTTAAAATAAATTATAAGGAGTATTGAAAACTAAATTTTTGTATGTAATATCTTTAATATATCTGTAATAGATTGATCACTTTTTGATACCTTTATAATAATGTAATTTGGATCTCATTGTAGTAGAATGAGTTAAATTTAAATGATTACCTTTTGTATTAAGACTTTGGCTATGATACGGACTATTCTTGGATTTTTACTACTATATCATATTTTATTTGACCAGTGGTAGTGACTATTCGTTTGTTGAGGGGCTATTAGGTCCCATTGTTTCTTTATATCATACTACTACTGTATATTTAGCTTTGCATTCTATGTAAATTGTTTATACACATATTTCTATATACATTTTTTTATAAATATATTTATTGTTGCTATTTTGAGTTTTATTTCAGTTCTACTAACCAGTATATAACATAGCAAAACAAGATTAGTATTTAGTTTTGTATTTCAGGTTACTATCTCCAGATTCATTTGTTACTTCAAAATCTCAACTATTGTTGAGTTGGCGCCCTTCTTTTTCTCTTCTTAGTGTTCTCTTCCTATAAATTTATTCCCAGTGACCTTCTTTAGTTATATCACGTTTGACATTGTCAGGTCTCATTTCGTTTCTTGTCTCATTAGCTCATTATCTCTTGTTATCTGTTGTATCTTTAAAGCCGCAATCCAGTGCATCGAAGCTAGCCCGAACACTCACTTGAGATTTGGTGTCTCTTTGGCCGTTTAACTTTGTTCCTCTGAGCTTAGCTATATTTTTAATATTTTTCCTTCCTTCTCTTTCAGTTCTTCTGAACTTTGTCAAATCACATAATTAATTCGTTTCATCCTCAGTGAAGAAGAAAAGAGGAAGGAGATGATGATCTTCGGAAAAAGAGTATTTGTTGGAAGGTCTCCAGTTAGGGGTCGTGACTTGACCAAGAAGGATCTTCCAAAAAAGGCAACCTTGCAAAGGAGCTTCTTACTTGGAGAGAAAAGACCTGCGGAAGAAAAGGAGGGCTTTGACATAACGCCAATAGTAAGAGCAATGGAGAAACTTACCAGCGTTACAAATAATTTATTGAAACTAATGTCCGACGAAGGTTGTGATTAAAAATGAAATAAAAAAACTTAAGAGAGTCACCGAAGGCTCCATGCCTATGAATGCTATGAATGCGATGATATGGTGTACAATAGCAGTGAAGGGAACATAGGGAAAGTCCTTAGTGAAGAAGAAAAGAGGAAGGAGAAGATGATGATCTTCGGAAAAAGAGTATTTGTTGGAAAGTTTCCAGTTAGGGGTCGTGGCCTGACCAAGAAGGATCTTCCAAAAAAGGCAACCTTGCAAAGGAGCTTCTCACTTGGAGAGAAAAGACCTGCGGAAGAAAAGGAGGGCTTTGACATAACGCCTATGGTAAGAGCAATGGAGAAACTTACCAGCGTTACAAATAATTTATTGAAACTAATGTCCGACGAAGGTTGTGATTAAAAATGAAATAAAAAAACTTAAGAGAGTCACCGAAGGCATGGAGTGCACTTTCAGACAAGTCGCGCTAGGTAGCGTCGAGAAAGGAAAAAAGCTTGTAAAAAAACCGGTGATGAGGTCACGATGAAGGAGACTGCAAGCGTTTTCACATAGGTGGACTTTAAAGAGTTATTCCTTTAAAAAAATTAGGGAAAGAGAGATAGAAATGATCACAAAGGTCTTAAACTCAGGGGAAAGAGACTTTGAAAAAATAGAGGAATTCATAGAAATTTAATGTGAAAAAGATCACTTACGGTTACCGAACCAGGAAGAGGAAATAAAGCAGCAAACGACTTGGTAGTGGTTATGGAACCTGGACTTTTCGGTGAGGGGAAAAGTTTCCACGACCTGATGAAAAAAACCGGAACTGGGAATATGTACTGAAGGTATGTACATATAGATCAGGAGAAGTGGAATACTTCCAATTTAATACGATACCCATAATTACAAGGAAGGGCCAAGAGAAGGAGAACCAAGGAAGCCGTCAGAACATTTTTATGGTCCCTGTGGAAAAGGGGGAGACGGAAGACAAGAGACTAATGGCAATTCTATCTAAATTGACGGGGAAGACATAGAGATTGTAAGGTGCAGAGAGGCATCCCTAATACTAGTTTGCGGCTACAGAGGTAGGAATCTCAGGAAGCTTCTTGAATTGTAGTCACCTTTAGAGGATGGACCTCAACCTCGTGCTGGAGGAGTATGAACAAGAAGAAAAAAGAGCAAGGACGCAGTAGGTGATCGTGAAAGGAGGCTAAAAATCTAACGCTGAGTTGATGAAATAAATAAAGGGTAGCATAGACATGAAGATGGAGGGGATTAGTGTCAAAAGTGCTAAAAAGACCAGGGGCGGAGAGCTCATTCTTGAAGTAGCAGGAAAAGAAGAGGCCGAAAGCCTGAAGAAGACTATCGTGGCCCTTACGGAGGGAAACATGGTAGAAGACGTCCGGGGTTATCAGGTTCAGGAGGACATATTTGACATAGACGGAGATGCCCCAAAGGAAGAAATTCTGAGGCATATCCGGCGATATACCGGCAGTAGGGGGCCTAATGACGTCAACTCGTCTCTAGAGATAGATAGACAAAAAATAGAGACGCGAACACAAACGTCACGATCGGACTGACGCGGATCGCAGCCAAGGAATCACTGGAGTAAGAACGCTTACCCATCAGCTGGAACTCGTGCAAGATACGAGTAAGAATGCATATCCAGCGGTGCTTTAGATGCCTGCAGTTTGGGCATAGTAAAATCGACTGCAAGGGAGAAAAGAGGGCGGACTGCTGCTACAGATGTGGCAAAGAGAGTCATCAGGCACGAGAATGCAGTAATCAGGAGGCTTTCTGCCTCACCTGTAAAGAAGCCGCTCATAAAGCCGACAGCTTACCATGCCCGGAGTACATAAAACTAATCCTGGAAAAACCGAAGGTCAAGAGAGACCCTATCAGAAGGGAGCAGGAAAGAGTGTCCACTTAAGATCAGGAATCAGATAGCATACGAGTAAGCAAGTTAAAGAGATAAGACCCATTTATTACGAAGTTTCTACAAATAAATGTGGGAAGGTCGAAGGCTGTTCACAACGTTGCAGAGGCACTTGCACGAAGGGAAGGTTATGACGTGATCCTATTTCAGGAGCCCAACGTAAAGTTGGTCTCTCGACATGGAATCATTAAAGATAGGAATTCTGACGTGGCCGTATACGTAGTGAATCATTAGCAGACACTCTGTTAAGAATGTTATGGTAAGGTATATGTCTGAAACCTGGTAGTATATAATTGCTATGTTTCACCAAATATCCCGCTTCGATTATATGAAGAGTACATTGACTCGATTATGCAAGAGGCTAGAATGGAGACTGTACCGGTCGTCATAGCTGGTGACCTGTGTTAAAACTTTAGACTTAAATATTAAAACTTTCGAGCAACCCCGTATATTACACCTCAAGTTAAGTACACCCCTCGAGAGGGGATGCAAGTAGCGGAGGAGAAGGCAGTTACAGTCCACGCTCAACTCGAGTCGCATCAACATCCTTACGCCAAGGACGCTATTTTTACATTGATCGTTTACAAATATTTTAAATGTGCTATTTTTTACTTCAATACAGTTTTAGTTTAAGTGATTTGTTTTTGTGTATTATTACGTGAAATTCCAATAAAATTCAACCTACATCCGAACATAAGTGGTTCTTCGAGACGGATTAGACTAGCCCAGTGATCAAGATTATTTGTACATTCCATGTAAGCTGTACTCATTTTCGGTGAATTTGCATCGTCCCGTTCACACAGTTTATCATCGAAAGAAGCAGGTATTATAATCTGTTGCCAAGGTTAGTGCATAATTTCCTTACCTACCTTATCTTTTATGGTCGTTAAAAGGGTACATTTGTATTTGATTTAATTCAGTGGAAATATTTATTTTTAAAAGCAGGTATTTTAATGCTTTAACACATTTAAAGATTTTAATATTTTCATTTATACTTAATACATAGTAGCGTCCTTAAATTTATTTCAATTTTTTCATTTTACATTTATAAATTTTTACAAGTTGAAATATTATCTTTTTTAGTTTTTTTATTGATTTGCAAAACATTTTTACACACATTACATAATTGATTTTAATTGTTTTTTGCATATACATACATACATTTTTACTTTTCTGAATATCCAAGTTATATTGTTACTATGGCTGACATCGCTACAGCAAAAACTAAACGCTCTTCAATCAAAGGTTCTGTAACCCGTTTTAGTACGTATTTTAATTCTATCAAAAACAAACCTTTAGAACAAATTAACTTTAGGGATTTACAACTTAGACTTGATAGAATTGAGAAACTTTTTGACGATTTCGACAACGCTCAACCACTTATTGAGGCCTCTGATGAGGATTACACTGCCAACGCAGATACTATTCATGGTGTTGAAAGGTCGTCTTTCGAAACGCCGTTTTTCCATATTACTAGCGCTGTGCGAGATTTTATTGACACCAATTTTTCAAAACCCTGTAGTCAGGCTGCTCAAGCTTCAAATTCGACAATTTCGTCCGAAAATACTTCACAAAGATCTATTAATATTAGGTTACCCGCTATTAACTTGCCCTCCTTTGAGGGTGACTATGAAAATTGGTTGTTCTTTAGGGATACATTTAATTTCATCATTCATACCAATACAGAACTTTCCAATATTCAGAAATTCCACTATCTAAGATTATCTTTACAAGGTATTGCCGCAGAAACAATACGTAACCTGGACATTTCTGAGGCAACATATGAAACTGCGTGGGAGTTACTAAAAGACAGATTCGAAAACAAATCTCTTCTTGTCAATAATTACATTAAAAAATTATTTAACCTACCAACCGTTTCAAAAAATTCACATCATGATTTACGCACTTTAGTTGATGGTTTCCAAAGACATTTACGCTCTCTTGAGTCCTTAGACTTAGATACAACATCTTGGGATGCCCTTATTATACATTTAATTACCACGAAACTAGACAATACCACACACAAGGAATGGGAACTGTCAATTAAAGACGATAAGAACACATTAACCACTTTGAGTAGCTTAACTGAATTTTTAAAAGGTAAATGTAGAGTCTTAGAATCTATTAATCATCAAGAAGAAAAATCTCGTCCCAAATTTTCATCTACAGGCAATCCCAAATCCAAGAATTTCTTGTCAACGAATAATTCTTCCAACTGTTCTTTATGCAAACAAAAACATCTAATTTACACTTGTCCTGATTTTCTCAAATTAGAAACGTCATTAAGACATAATGAAGCAAAACGCTTGCGACTTTGCATAAATTGTCTGCGTAGTGGTCATTTCACTAAGGAATGCAAATCTTCCGGGTGTCGTAAATGTGGAAAAATACACCACACACTTTTACACTTTCAAAGTAACTCACAAAAGCTTACTGAAACCAGCAATCAAACCATCAGCAGTTTACCTTGCTCTAGTCCAGGTACATCAGAAGGGTCTAATGCACTGACAGCACGTAACATTTCGTTTGAGCACAACTCTACTACCTTGCTGTCAACTGTAAAAATAAACGTCTTTGACATCTCAGGTAACGAACACGAGGCTCGTGCACTTCTAGAAAATGGCTCTGAAAGTAATTTCATTTCCCAGCGCCTATTAAATCTTCTAAGGTTGCCTACAACCAAAACACATTTTTCTATTTCTGGTATAAACCAAACAAATTCTATTGTAAGCTACAGAACATCGGTCAAATTTAAGTCCAAAACTTTAAACTTTTCTCAAGTAATTTCTTGCTTAGTGCTTCCTGAAATTGCAGGAAATTTGCCTTCTGTCACATTCGATAAGAAAATACTCAATATTCCTTACAATATTACTCTGGCCGATCCAGACTTCAATATTTCTTCTCCTATTGATCTTCTTATCGGTGCAGACATCTTCTGGAATTTAATTTGTATTGGTCAGATTAAATTATCACCTGGACAACCGATTCTTCAAAAAACTAAACTTGGATGGATTATCTCAGGTCCATTATTTCCAAACAATACCCTTGCAGCCAGAACTTCATGCAATTTGTCGACCATAAACAAGTTGAGCATAGAAGATCAACTTCAAAAATTTTGGGAAATTGAAGAATGCCCAAAAACAAAATTTTTGTCTAACAAAGAACTTTCTTGTGAAGATCACTTTTTAAAAACAACCTCTCTTAATTCTTCTGGTAGGTTTGTAGTATCACTTCCCTTGAAATCTTACGTCGACAATCTAGGCGACTCTAAGACTACAGCAACAAAAATGTTCTATTCTCTCGAAAGGAAACTTAATGCGAATTTTGAATTAAAAGATGATTACACTCGATTTATCGATGAATATTTATCCTTACACCATATGTCCCTTTCACCCTTTGAAACCACAGGCTATGAGTTCTTTCTTCCTCATCATTGTGTCTATAAAGGCAATAAAATTCGTGTTGTTTTTGACGGTTCTGCCAATACAGATTCAGGTGTTTCCCTGAATGACATTCTTATGGTTGGACCTAATTTACAAGATGACCTTTTTACTATCATCTCACGTTTTCGTAAACATAATTTTGTAGTAACAGCTGATATAGAAAAGATGTATCGACAAATTCTGATAAAGGAGGAAGAACGCTCCTTACAAAAGATCATATGGCGGTCTAATCATACAAACTCTCTCGAGACTTATACTTTAAACACCGTTACTTACGGTACTGCTTCTGCTAGTTTTCTTGCCACTAGATGTCTTCAAGAAGTGGCACATATGTATGCAACCGATTTTCCCGACATATCTTCTATAATTTTACGGGACTTTTATGTCGACGATCTTCACACAGGTGGTTCTACAATAGAAGATATCAAACGTATTCAATCACTTACTTCCGAATTATTGTCTCGTCATGGTTTTCAATTAAGAAAATGGAAGTCAAATGCCCCTATTTTAAACTTTGACAATCAAAATAATGTTTCCTTGGAAATTGGAGCTGACGATACTATCAAAACTTTGGGCTTATTGTGGAGTCCCAAATCTGACACTTTTCATTTCAATGTTCAACCTATAGAGCACAAGTGTAAAGTTACAAAGAGATAGTTACAAAGTGTAAAGTTACAATTCTTTCCACTATATCAAAAATATTTGATCCACTAGGTTTGCTTTCGGCTGTAACTATAACAGCTAAAATTATTCTACAAGATTTGTGGAAACTAAAAATTTCTTGGGACGAAGTCGTTCCCATGGATATCTTTACGAAATGGGTTACATATCAGACTCAACTGGTTAAACTTAATCAGTTACAAATTCGTAGGCATGTAATTTGTACAAACTACAAGTCAATTCAACTACACGTTTTTCAGATGCATCCACCACCGCATATGGTGCTTGCATTTATATTCGTTCATCTGAAAACTTTGAAAATTTTCATTGTCATCTACTCTGTTCCAAAACTAGAGTAGCTCCTTTAAAACACATTCTCACGGTACCGCGTCTAGAACTTTGTGGAGCTTACTTGCTAGCTGAGTTGATAGACAAGGTAAAACAACACATGCAATTAGATTTCGAAGAAATCACTTACTGGTGCGACTCCACTATTGTTCTAGGATGGATAAAGACTGCTCCGAGTTTGTTAAAGACGTTT